CGGCTTGGCCACCATCTCCTGGTATTTGTCAGAGAGCTCCGTGCTCTGCACACACATGCTGGACCTGAACTCAGGAGAAATCAGAGGGTGTAGGGCTGCTGGGGGAAACCCACAGCTTCTACACTGTGGCTTTGTCTGCTTATTGGGTCAGGAGCCCACCAGGCTTCAGGGCTGCTTTGGCTGGGAGCAGCATGTGGCTGGCTTGTGGGGGACATTGTGTTCACCGCCCTGTGCTGACCCTTGTTCTGTCATTGATGGTGGGGGGCAAAGACGGGGAAATTCCTTCCCTTGAAGCCATGTTCTCTCTCTTCAGGTGACATTATCCGGACGGTTGTGCCCAACCACTCGCTGGTTGAGAAGCTGGCCAGCCTCTACCTGGAGAACGTGAACCCCAAGAGCCTGCAGGTGGTTAGCCTGGAACAAACACCGAGTGCGCTGGGCTCAGACCACGATACGCGAGGGACCGAGCCCTTCTCTAGCCATGACGAGGACAGTCACTCTGGTACCTTTGGGAGTGTGCTGGTAGGGAACCGCATCCAGGTCCCTGTGGACACACAGCGCGAGGGTCTTGGCTTGCTTCGCCTCAGTGCTGGCACTGATGGCTTTATTCCCAGCTCATCCAGCGAGGAGAATGCCCTGAAGCATGACCTTCCTCGCAGCACCCACATGCTCTGTGGGAACTGGCTGGCCTACTGGCAGTACGAGATTGGGGTGAGCCAACATGACCCCCGCTTCCACTTCCACCAGATCAAGCTGCAGAGTTTCTCAGGGCATTCGGGGGCCATCAAGTGCGTGGCACCACTCAGCAGCGAGGACTTCTTTCTTAGTGGCAGCAAGGACAAAACCGTCCGCCTTTGGCCCTTGTACAACTATGGGGACGGCACCAGTGAGGTGCCACCGCGCTTCACATACGCCGAGCACAAGAAGTCTGTTTTCTACGTGAGCCAGCTGGAGGCATCGCAGCACGTGGTGAGCTGTGATGGGACCGTACACATCTGGGACCAGTTCACAGGTAAGAAGGGAAAAGGGTGAGGGCTGGCTGGAGCGAACAGGGGGGCCATACTGAGTTTTGATGGCTCCTGTTAAAAAAGTGCAGAACTGGAGATCTACTGTGTACCTTCTCCCTACATCGACTGCTGTAACTTCTCCGTTGTGTTTTCACAGGCAAGCTTCTCCGGACTTTTGATGAATTAGACAGCAAAGTCCCCATCACAGCTGTAAACACCATGCCGCCTCCCTATCACAGCATCTCCGTGGCCAGCGCAGACTCTGTGCTGCGTTTCATCGATCACAGGAAGCCAGGACTACAGGTAGGGAGTGCTCTGTGAGCCACCCTCCTCCCTCTGTGTCCTCAGTGATGGGACCATGGCTGGCCCAAAGCCAGCTGCGACGCCTCTATGAAAGCCAGCTGGGCCTTGTCCTCTAAATGCTGGATCTCCTAGATCTTCACCTCCCCAGTAGCTGGACTCTCTGTCTTGCAGCACGAGTTTCGCCTGGCCAGTGGGGTGAGCGCCGGGCTCATCCGCTGCTTGGCTGTCAGTCCTAGTGGGCGCAGCGTCATGGCTGGCTTCTCTTCTGGTTTCATTGTGCTGCTGGACACCAGGACAGGACTCATTATGCGGGGGTGGCCTGCCCATGAGGGAGACATCCTGCAAATCAAGGTGAGAGGTTCAGCTGGGATCAGGGTGGGGGGCTGCGTTGTGGGCGTCCATCGATCCTCTGAGGTTTTGTGGAGCATCCTTCTGGCATGCACTGCTTGGCAGGGCTTGTCTGCTCCATCCTCCGTCCCTTGCTGTGTCCCTAAGAGACTGCTCAAGCTCTCCTGCCCCATGGCTCGTACTGTGGGTGGCTGTTCTTGGTCCCACCTGTGTTAAACAGAGATCAGCCCTCCCAGGTGTCTGAGCAGGTCTGCAGCAGGGGCAGGGAGGAAATGCATCTCTCGTGAAGAAGCGAACGTGTTGCTTTCTCCGCAGGGCTCTCATCCCCCCTGGGAGAGCGCTGCTCTAATGAGTAACTCTTGTCCATATTTACCCACCCTCAGGGAGCAGCGTTGGGGCTTCAGTGTCCTCGACCCAAATGCAGGTTAAGCAAAGTTCAGCAGTGAGGGTTGTTTACCCTCTCACTGGCTCTGCTATTAAGCAGCTCAAGGCTTCCCGTACTCTCAGCAGTGTTTTCTACTGTGGGAGAGCCTCCCAATTCCTTTTCCTGAGAAGGAAAATAATTTGGCAGGTGGTTTGATGGAGAGTAAGACTGCATGATTCTCTCTTTACCCACTGCAGTAGTAACAGATGATAAATTAGTTCCGTTGAATACCAGGATGTTGTTGAGGAGAGACACAGCCCGTCTCTTGGACGCTTTGATAGCATTAGAGGAGGTTGCCAACTACCGGAGAGTTCTGTAGCTTCTTGCAGCATCCACCTGGGTGCCTTCTTAATACTGCTCAGTGCCATCAGTTGCTTGGAAATGGCTGGGACTGTCCCAAGGGATTGTGCTGTGACTGTTGGATTATTGGCAGCTACTTACTAATCTCATTTGCGGGATGAGATGGGAGATTTTACTGCAGCAGTGTTGGTTCACTGGCCTTTCCTCTCCTGCAGGCTGCAGAGGGCAATGTGCTAATCAGCTCCTCTTCGGATCATTCCCTGACTGTCTGGAAGGAACTGGAGCAGAAACCTTTGCACCACTACAAATCTGCATCTGAACCCATCCATGCATTTGACCTCTATGGCAATGAAGTTGTCACCGGCACTGTGGCCAACAAGATTGGCGTCTACTCCATGCTGGAGTCTTCAGCCCTGCCCATCAGCACAACCAAGCTGAGCTCGGAGAATTTTCGGGGTACGCTGACCAGCCTGGCAGTGCTGCCCACGAAATGCCATCTCCTGCTGGGCTCGGACAACGGCGTCATACGCCTGCTGGCATAGCGACTCCCGTCCCAGGAGTTGGTGGCTGTCCCATAGCGCTGGTGGTAGTGCTGAAAGCCGGCAGCGTTGCTTACGGAGGAGGCAGAGTTAGATGTTTCCGAACAGACGATGCAGGGGGGAGCTGTACTGGTTAGTGAGCACTTGGTAAAGCATCTCTAACCTCTTTCTGTATCTTTAAAAAGAAAAAAAAGCCATACCTGAGAAACCTCCACTGCTGCTGGGAGAAATACTGAGCGTTGTAGGTCACTGTCACCCCTGCAGAGAGGCCTGGAGCTTTCCATACCATGTGTGCCTGATCCCCAGGGAACTGTGAGCCGCCCTCCAGAGTAATATGGACCACAGGTATCCTCTCTCCTTCAGTTAAGGGGTAAGAGGTGCCCCTTGACAGGAACACAACAGTATAGCTACTGCCATCTGCACTTACCCTTCACTTCCACTCCAGAACCACTGAACAGTCTTACTGGGGTAGCATAGGCTGGGCCTGGGAACTGCCGCCTTTGGAGCTGCGTGGTGCCGGGCATCTCCTCCTCCTCTGGTCTGTGTTCAAAGCTCAGAGGATGTACTCTACCGACTTTAGATTCTGCTGGCTGAGTTAGAGCCTGTATGGGAGGAGGAGAGGTTAAGTAGAGCACTTCTGCTGCCTTACTGGCTCCAGGGCAAAGACTGGAATGGAAGTCAGCCAAGGCACAAACCCCATCTGTTCCACCAGTTCATTTAGGAATGGGCTGCTGCAGATGGACAGTTTGGGATGGGAACATGCCCCTCTAGGGAGGCCAGAACTGAATGCTTCCATGAGGATTTTGGCTTCTGGAGCAGTAGGGTAGGGATGGAGTATTGTTGGTTCCTGCCCCAGCCTCACTGCATCCTGTGGGTATCTGAGGGGTGAGGAATGCCCCGTGTGCCACGCACTGGCAGTGTTTCTCAAGAAATCCCCCTCCTAATCCTCTCCTTTGTGCTGGTCAGGCTCCTGGGGAAGACAGGACAGCAAAAAGGTGCTCAGTTTTGTCCCCTCCTGCCCTCGTAGGGTGAGAGCCAGGAGGCGTGATCCGCCATGGTCTCCTCCTGACCTTCCCTTTGGGACAGCACTGTCTGTTCCCACCCCAAAGGCGAGGAGAGCGCTCTTTGACCCAGGCGTAGGAGCAGTTGCCTCACTTCTGTTGCAGCCCTTTTCCCATCCATCCTTCAGCCTAGACAGCCAGTTATCAGGGGAGCGGGAAGCTTTTATCCTGGGCAGAGGAGGAGCCTGTTGTGGGTTGCCCTGAGAGGGGAAAGGGCTTTCATCCAGCTGCCAGTTCATCTGAGCCACCTGCGGTTGGGAAGGCTGCCCTCTGCTCCCAGGGAGGGGGGGAGGTGAGCAGTTGGCCCTTGCTGTCTCTTTCTCTACCCAAGGGGAGCTCTCAGTCCCGTGTTGCCTATTAACCATTTGCAATAGATGTAAATATTTACTTCTAATAAACTCTTTGAAAGAGATGCAGAGATGGGTGTGTGGGGAGGCTCTGTGGCGGAGGGGCCCGGGTGCGGTGTGGTTTGGGGCTGGGTGTGCTGGCTGCAGCTCTCCAGCTCTGGCAGCCAAAGCTAAAGCTCTGCATTTGGGCACCTCTTGTGTTCCTGGGTGAGCTGGAGTAGGGATGCTGTCAAGATCCCCTGGATATAAGACAGGACTCTGCTGCACAGGGACTTGGATCTGGTTTCCAAGGGAAAGCAGCTCCCCATGTTGCAGTGGCACATCCCAAAGTAGCTTCTGGTGGCAAAGCTCAGGCCATGTCCCCTTTCCATTCCTTCCCAGTGTCTGGGGTGAGTTTGGGAACCATGAGCTGCTGCAAGGAATGGAGGGATGCAAGTGCTGCGATCCCATTAGCGTTCCCCACTGCTCCTTAGTGACTCCTCTCCCACTGAGGACATGGACGAAGCTGGGAAGGATCCCCATCGCTTCTGTGTATGGCACAAAACCTCACAGGACAGGACTGCTGGAGCTTTGCCCGTTCCCAAGATCTTCCTCCGTGCCACAGCGGTGCCTGTGTGCCGTGGAGCCCGGCAGCGGGGCCAACTCCCCTGGCAAGGCTCTGGTGCGTGCCGTGCCCCGGGGGAGGTACCGGCTGCTCCTGGCTCAGCCCAGCCTGAGCATCGCTGCCTCCTGCTTGGGTACGCGGCCACGGGGCCTTGGGTGCTGGCCGTCTGTTAAAACCGGTGCCTTGCGCTTGCTGCAGCAGAAGCAGCTGGGACACAGGGAGTAAATATCTGGGGGTATCTGCAAAGAAAATTCCAAACCCAGAAGGAGCCCTGTGGCAATAAAACCCAAACCCTACGTTTTCATTAAAGGTTATTAATAAAAGAGCATGCTCCCAGGGCAGGGAGCATATAGAAAGCAGAGCTACTACTGGGGACAACTGACTTTGCACGTTACTTCTGCTGCTGGGAGTTTTGGAGCTGGTAAACTCAGTGTTAACGTTGTCTTGAAGGTGCAGCAGCCCTAAGTGTCTCCCCATCTCCAAAAGCACCACAAGTTCACCCTTATCCCCCAAACAAATGTTTAATCGGATGCTGTATGTCAATATTTGCCTGCCAAATTTTCAAATAGGGGCTGGTGCCGAAGGTCGCTGCTGGTGGGTAGGAGGGGTGGGCTGGGCAAGAGGCTGCGTTTGCCCCACACAGAGCTATCGGCTGGGCTAAAGCAGGTGCCAGCTCCAACGTGGACATGAACCACCTCAGGTAAGGGGCAAATAAATGAGGATTTGACCATAAATGGGGGCTCCTCCGATAAGCGATAGTGTTCTCTGGGAAAGGCGGGGGTGAATTTGGCAGAGGGTTAAAGGACGGGCACCACTGGGAAGGGAAGGGGTATTCAGGGTTATATGTGGCTGCAGGATTTGGGGTGAGGGAGGAAGGGGAAAGAAATGGCCCCAAGTTTTGTTTCTTCCACTTGGCAGCTGGGGTTCACAGCCCAGCAGTTTCAGGCAAAGCAAGGACTGCTCAGAGCATGGAAAGCAGCCCCGGGAATGAAGCGTATAGCAGCTGTGTCGATGGCTGGGCTTTGGCACGGGGGCTTTATATTATGAAGAAGATAATGTTATTTCTGTTTGAAAGGGAAAAGCGGCTGGGTGAATCGGTGGCCCGGGAATGGGTGGGGTTTCATCCATGGCCCTGGAAGCCTTGTTCCCGCTGTCCCATACAGGAATGGGAGTGCGGGGGTGGGAGAGGCTGGGTTTGCCAGCAAAGGGGGAAGGCGAGTGCTAGGAAGGGGAGGACTCTCTATTCCAGGACATATTGCTGAGAAACTGCTCCGGTATTGCATTTTTCTACCTGCAAAGTCCCTCCCAGACAGCACTCACTGAGTGCCCGCAGCCCTCTGAGGCAGGTTAGTATCCCTTCTCCCAGGAGCCCGGGGCACAGCTGAGGATGCTGCGCCCGTACCTCGGTGGTTTGCTGAGCAGAGGCTCTTGCCTTCTACCAGAGGCACCGCGTGTGCAGGACTGATTAGGGAAACACCGCTTGCAATTCAGAGAAATGAGGGCCACGGGGGTCAGAAACGTAGGACCCGAGCTGGAGGCGCCTGGCTGTGGTTACAGCTCTGCTCCCATGTGGGTCCCTGTTCCTCTCCGATTTCGCTGCCTTGGTGTTGGACCCAGGAGTCCTGTGTTATTTCTTCGCAGCATTGTTCATCTCCCTATTGCTTTCTGTAAGCTCCTGCGCCAACCTGTTTGGCCAGGTTGATAATTTTCTCCCAGTAGACCTGAATAGGCTCAGCTTGCTGCTGCCAGGCAGCTGGAAATAACCTCTCTCGGCTGGTCCTTCTCTTCCAGAAATATGGTGTTCCTCTGGGGCCTGTCGCTCTTCTGCCTATCTGCTCTGCACAGCCACCTAAGGGTAAGTCGCTTCGCTCCAGTGATGGTGGGAGCACAGCCCTCTCCCCAGCCAGCAAAGGGCAAGGGGGGCGAGGTGGCTCCCCTGCTCCAGACCATGGGGCAAATACTGCCTGCGTGGGAAGCCCTGGAAGGCAGATTGGTGGAGGACACTGCTTCTCTGTTAGCCTATGCCCCAGTGCAGCAAGGATTCTAATTTTTCCCAGCTAAAATAGCTGTGGATATTCTCATTATTCAAGTGGATTTCTGTAGAAAATCTTTGGAAACTTGCATTTAAGTGTATTTAGTGACCATGACCTTCAGGGGTTAACAGGAGGTTGTTTTCCCTTCCATTTTAATTCTGGATCCCCGTCAGATCTGAGATTGCAAAACCGCACTGCTCGCTCTCTGGAGGATACTTTCTTCTGTGTCCCTCTGGCCTGGTCCCTTTCTAAACAGTCCCAGTGTTCGCACTCTCTCCCAGCTCCCGCTCCCTGCCACCGCCCCTCGGTGCACCCCACCACCTCTGGGGCTGCATCCTAAAGCCCTGCTCATGCTGTAGCCCTGTGAGGACTGGTACCAGCACCTGGGCTGGTGCCGGTCTCTGACCTGGCCCCATGGGAATGTGTTAGGAGTGGGAGCAGAGAAGACAACCTGCAGGAATTCAGAGGAAATTATCTGGGACCTGACTTGGTTTCTTTGTTGTTTGGGGTTTTTTTCCCCCTACAGTTTTCTTCGGTACACGCCATTGAGCAAAAGCGTCTCTTCTTAGACAAAGATGGGGAGCTGAAGGTAAGCAATGACTGGTTGCACCCAAGGGGATTGAAGTTATGCTGTGGCTTTTGCAATGGTTTTCCAGTTTGTCCTGAGATGATAGGATGAGTCCAGGCAGTGCAAGAAGAAAGTCCATCTTTGTGCAGGTTTCCCTCCGCCTCACTCACTGCTGCTGCCAACCCTTTGTGCTGGCAGCTCCAGCCTAAATAACTGGGCAGTGTACGGAGTAAACATCAGTAGCTGGTGTGTGCAGGGACTGGCAGGTGGATTATTTAATTTGTGATTGATAAGGAAAGACGAGGAAAACAACAAGCTATAAGAGTGACGGGGAGAAAGACTCGTAGCTGATGCTACCCATCAAGCCTGGCTCTGACAGCGCGGCACTCCTGCAGTAGCGGAATGTCATCCGGATGCCGGTGGGAACAGAAGGATCTGAGCAAAAAAGCATGTGTTTGAGACCATGTAAATGTGAGGACAGTAGCAGCAGTGTTATAGGCTGAAGCTTAGAAAACTGGAAAATGAGGAATTTGGAGAGAAAATGGATGGAATAGAACAGAGAAGTCAAGAAGAGACAGATGCTTGGAGGAGGATTTGAGCCTAAATGGATCAAGGCTCTGACAGCAGTAGAGGGTGCTGACCGATGCATGAGGCAGATTGGCAGTCCCGAAATATGTGAGAGGAGGTGGTGAAATCAAGGTTAAGGCTGATGGTTCTATAATTGGTGAAGGCACAGGCCATGTGCTGAGCAGGTGGTGGTTCTCGTCCTCAAAGCAGGCCCTGGGAGCACATGGAGGAGGAACCACTGCAAGACCCTCACTCAGTCCATTTTCCCAGGATACAAAACCTTGTCTTCCGTACTCATTGAGGTGCTTTTAACCTCAAGGCTAAAAGGCAAACTGAAGCAAATACACCACCAGCATAGAGAAGCTGGAGAGTTTTCTCAACCCATTTAGATGTTGCAGTAAAACCGATGAGGGAAGGTTGCACCATGCTCCTGCTTTCCCAATGCTATCCTTCTCATTTCTCCCCAGGACATTAAAAGTGCTGGAGCTGTACAGTCTGCTGCATTGGGAGCCACCCCAACCCTGCCGAACGCAGAGCTGGCAGACTTTACCCATGACAACTTCCAGGAGATCGATGGACCCATGTTACCTTTTGCCACCACATTGCCAGGGACGAGGAATGACTGGAAACCAGAAGATGAAGCCATAGCTGAGGCTGTGGGCTGTCATGGTCAGCAACCATACGGGGAAACTGCCTCTTCTGAAGAGGAAGGAGAGGCTGAAGACGATAAAAGCTGTGAGATGACTTCGAAGAAGAGCCAGAAGCTAGCAGACGGCTTGATGAGATTCAGCATCGAACTCCTGAAAGAGGTCCAGCTGGAGTCCAACAGACCCAACGTGATCCTGTCACCCCTCAGCATCGCCCTCGCCCTGTCTCACCTGGCACTGGGTAACTTCTTAGTTACAGAAGCACCATTTTCCTGCCCTTCCCTTACCCCCTCCTGGAGGCACTAGGAACCAATGTGCAAAATACAAAGATCAAATACAGCACCTTCCACTTAATCTTACTCCTGCAGCTTTAATTAAGTGTGGTTACAATTGAAGCCGCCCTCCGTGGCCCTGCTGAGTCTCCTACTCTCAGGTTTCTCCAGCCTCTTTTGTAAAGGCACAGTATGTTTCTATCAGGAGGCAGCTAGAGTCGCGTTCCTGTTTTCCACTACGTGGGCATGATGTAACAGGAATTTAACTTTACTTTTTAGGAGCAGCAAATCAGACAGAGAAGCATCTGCTGGAGGTGATGCATCTGGAGTCAGTGCCCTGTCTCCACCACAAGCTGGGCACCCTTCGCAGAAGGCTGGCAGAATCCACCCTCAGCCTTGCGTCCCGTCTGTACCTGCAGAAAGGTGAGAGCTGGTATGGGCAGGGGGGTCTGTACTGGTGGAGAATAAAACTCTCAGCGACAGAGAGTGATGGAAGCACGCTGCCATACTGGGAGACGTCTCTGTTTCCCTAAGCACTCCTCCTGGGGAGTGTCATGCCACTGGCTGAGCCACTGAGCAAATTTTTTTTTCCATGTCTGATGACTTCATGTAGAATTCTTCCCCTCTGCTAGGATTTGAGGTGAAAGAGCAGTTCCTGGAGGATTCAGAGAAATTCTATGGAGCAAAGCCCATGACCCTTTCCGGGATTGGTGAGGATGACCTTGTAGCCATAAACAAGTGGGTAAAGGAAGCAACTAATGGGCAAATACCCACCTTCCTACAGCAGCTCCCTGAAAACACGGTGATGCTCTTGCTCAACGCAATCCATTTCCACGGTGAGCTCCACAGGCCTTACTTTTCAAGAGAAATAGTTCAAAATCTACTCGTTTTCTGCAAGCACTGTAGCTGAATGGCATTGCCGTTCGTTGCTTCCTGCTAGTCAATCTGCTTGTTCTTTTCTTGTACATCTGCTGTTCCTCTTGCTTAGATTTCTTTACAGTAATGATTCCCAACAGCTTCACATGTGCTAAAAATGTTACTTGACAGCAGAGCCCAGAATGCAGCAGGTGGAACCTGCAGTATTTTTGCCCCCTGGTTCAGGATCCCAGACAGTGGCACATCACTGCTGATCTGAACCAGCTTATGTGCAACTCATTACACATCAACCACAGAGCTCGGAGGCAGCTTCCGTGGATTTCTTTCTGACTACAGCACAGTGGTCAGGCACATTTTCCTCTTTTAATTCCCTGAGGGCTGTGCATCGAAACACAGACCAAACACTTCCAGTGTAAATCCGCAAATGTTTGAGCTTGGTCTTGGAGCACTGTTTCACTCTATGCAGCACAAAGGCAACACTTCATTTTTCAAAGCACAAACATCCATTACTTTATCTTCATAGCCTTCAGGAATCTCCCACGCTGAGGCATGAGGATTAATCCTCATTCTTTTTGTTATTCCATAGTCCCCCTCTGGAAGATAAGAGCTTCCTGCTGCTAGGGCTCTTCCAGCCTTGGTGCCGACTTCTCGCTGTATTTCTTCTTGCCTGGTCACTATCTGCCTTGCTGGAGAACTTGTGATAGGAGGAGTGTCAGCTAGGCAGTTTCTGTTTTCCTACCCAAATTTAACTTTGTTGATTTCTAAACTTTTATTTCGATAGGGTTTTGGAGGAATAAGTTTGATGCTAGCTTCACTGGGCCAGATGTGTTCCACCTTGACAATAAGTTCGTGGTCCCAGTTGAGATGATGAAAGCCCAGAAGTACTCCCTGAGCTGGTTTGCACTGGAGTCCCAGGACATTCAGGTAGGGCTCCATTAGGAGCACTACAAGTTTTGACTGGAATTTCCTCTTGCTATGGTATTTTACTGACTGCAAGTATTCTCTCCAAAAAGCAAATGTCTTTTCACAGGCATAGCACACAAAAATTTAACAAGCACCCTTTGTCCTTGCTTCTAGCAAGAATGTTGAGTCTTCACTCTCAATCTCTAGGAAAAAACACAAACAGCTATTCCCCTTAAGTGGGAATTAATGGAGTTTTAAAGCCCTGAGTTTGAAGATAAATGAGGAAATATGGAAAGGAATTCCCCCAGACAATGTACAGTTGAAGCCCTTCAGAATAGAGCTACTGCCAGAGGGGGTACAATGTTTGTGCATGTGGGCTTCCACTCTGCCATGCATTCAATCTTTACCAGTCAGTGGCTAAATACTAAAATCTAATGCCGTCATTCCAACAAACTTTCTCCTCTGAAGAAATCGGATACCTCACTTCTCACCAGACTGTCTGCATCCAATAGCTAGACTGGCTCTGTAGACCCATTAGAAAAAGACTACATTAAAAGCATAATTTTCTGGACTTTCCTTCCTCTTCCATAAATTCTTCTGGTTGGTTTTATTTTCCAGGTGGCCAGGTTTCCCTTTAAAGGTAACACAAGTTTTGTGGTCATTGTACCAAACCAGTATACCTGGAATACCACTCAAGTGCTGGAGAACTTCCCTTATCAACAGCTGTGCAGGCTTTTCCCCAAAGAGGTACCCACCATAGTGAAGGTCCCCAAAATAAAATTGGACTACCAGCTGGAACTCAACAAGGTTCTCAGTCAAATGGGTAAGGCCTCTAACAGGATTTGCAGAGAATAAGTGAAGCGGATCAATCTATATGGCATCTGTTCGCTGACACTAAAAACTGCCATCCTTGTTTCTAAAGCTGTGCCTCACAGCTTGCTCCAGATAACATCCAAACTCTTTCTTATTCCTCTCCTCCTCCTTACTCTTTGCTTGCCTAGCACCAAATGTTTTGCTCCAACAAGATGATACTATAGAGAAGGCAGCATTCACAGTTCTTCACAATCTTTACGAGTTCTTCCTATTCCCCTATTTGTAGCCAAAACCAACTTCCTCCCATGCGTCAACCTTTATCTCTTACTTTGCCATTTAACATAGCGTCCAGGAGATAGAAATTGCCAAAAGAGAGAATGCAGGTCACCAAACCTGGAACCGAGAGCTTACTGAAACTAAACACCATGCACATTCCAGATGAGAATAAATTTAAGAGAGTTCACTTTGTTTTGCAGAATTGCTTAAAAAAAATTATCTCTGCAAGAGCGTTTCCAGCCTAGCAAGAAAGAGCCTTCAGACTTGCTGCTGCTTTTTAAGGAAGGCTTTAAGTTCTTACGCTACTATTCTAAAAGAGGTGGACAAAGCTTCTGAAAACTGTTCTGGTTTTGGCACCCTCAGCTCTTCATACACAGAGCGACTGGGGAGCTTGGCTGGACTGCAGCTTTTGTTTCTGTGGCCTGCCAGTTCTCCAGTCCTTCATGGTGCACAACACATGTAGCGACAGATTAGGGAATTGATTTTTTTGGACAGCTCTGAGAAAAATCAGAGCTGGTGGCACCAACTGTGAAAGGTTAACTTAATCTCATTTCTCTGTAGGCCTCCAAGAGCTGTTCACAAGCCCAGATCTCCAGAAGATCGCAGATGAGCCTCTGTTGGTATCCAGTGTACAGCATCAGTCTACCCTGGAACTTAAAGAAGATGGGGTGGAAGCATCCGCTGCTACCAGCGTTGCAATTTCACGCTCGGCCTCTGCCTTCAGCCTTGACCGTCCCTTTGTCTTCATTGTCTTCGAAGATGAAACAGGCATCCCGCTTTTTATAGGCAGTGTCCAGAACCCTAACCCCAATGCCGCTCCCCAGATAGAAGAGCCATGGAACTCACGTGAAGCAACAACAGATGTCAATGAGAATCCCATGCCCAAATAAGAGAGGAGCAGGGCCTAAGCGTTCTGGAACTGCTGCCTGACCCTTTGGACCAGCTAAGAGAGGCCGCCTGTCCTTGGAGACCTCCCTCTGAGGCCACAGGAGGCAACCCCTTGCTGTTTTCCTTTACAGATCCCTAGAGACCAGTCCTGGGATAGCCCATTCCCAGCCTTGGCGAGCTTCTCCAGGCTGGGGTTCCCCTCTGTTGAACCTGAAAAGCTTGCTCTGCCTGGATTTCCCTTCCAGGGCTCTCAGTCCTGGAAGGGAGACTTCCTCATCCCCCGGCTCTTATTAGAGTCTTTATTAAGCTCTTACTAGAGTCCTCCATAGCCTGGAATCATCATTAGCATCTGGCAGCTTGGACAACAGCCAGAGATATTAATATGTCTCTTCCTTCCGCAGTTCCTGTGAACATGTCTCCCTCAAAGTGTTCCTCTGAAATCCGTCTGTACCCACCTAGAAAATGACCTCTAGATCAACTGGACTATTAACCAGTTGTCTTCTCTAGGATGCGTCACAGCCAGTTCCAGGCACAGGCTCTTTTCAAATATTCCCTTTTCCCACTTCTTGGCTATTGGGATCTGATGTGGAAAGGTCTGCAAGCGGGAAACCTCTTTGGATCCTCCAGCCTTTTTCCTGGAAAACTCTAGGTTCTTGGGTAACACTAGATTTTTCAAGACATATTTTATAAAGTGTTTTTTAGTAATTTTTATGTTGGCAGAATAATAAAGAGTAAAGCAGAATATATTTGCTTAAGGCATTGCATTGAAAGACCCAACAGAGAAAGGAAAAAGGCACGCAACTTGAATAATTGCAAAGATTGGGAAGAAAAAATCTGGGTGTGACAGATGGAAAGATAGGAGGGGCTCTTGCAAAGGGTCTGCTTTTTGCTACACTTCATTACAGAGGACAACAGGGGCTGTGAGGTGAAATGGCTAATCTGGAAAGTCTGGCCAAGGACTAAATCCAAGATGCTTTGGGCATCTCACCTGCGGAGTGTGCAGGGAATGCCCACCGGGTCAGAGCTGGCTTTGTGGAACAGGCAGAATTCCTTGAATTCAGGCACAAGCTCTGCAGCATAGGGACAGGAGGGTATTTTGCCTGTGAGCAGCCATGCAGTGATAAGCAGGGATGTGACAGTCCTTAACCTTTCTCTCTGGCAAAACCTGACCACTACTGGTATCTACTAGGAGGTTCAAAGGTGCTGATCTGGCATCTGCTATCTGTGATTTGTTCTTCTGGGATACTCCTGGCTCCACAGCACAATGCTGTGCATGGTTGGGACAGCTTCCAGGGGAAGGAGGGACAGATTTTGATGCCTGTAGCTGAATGTCACTGCTTTTGCCTGGTTGTGGCAAAAGGCAATGACCTGTTGCAGCTTCATTTTTGTCTGAGATGGGCACAGCTCCCCGGGTCCTTGTTCTGAGGTATCAGTGCACATCTGAAATAAGCTACCGCAAAAGAACCTTGGGAACCCTCTGCCCAACCAAGCCATCCTACCACGTAAAAATATTAGTCTAACTCACCGTAGCCTGCCATGCTGCAGCTATTTCTGTACAAAACAATTGCTGTCCATAGTAGATTCTGCTTCCAAAATTCCTCAGCTTCTGGGTAGAAAGGATGGTACTCTGGGTTTTGCGAAATAGCAATTGCAGAGCACAAGGGCCATCCTTCTGGCAGTGTTTTCCTTACTCGGGAAGTCTGCCTTCCCTCAAAGGAAGGAGCAGAATGCTTCTGGGAGCCTCCGTCCCTGAATAGTCTGCACCATCTGCTGGAATAAGAGAAGGACTGACTCACTAACCATGAATTTTGGGGATGCAGGAGACTTTGGGGAATAAAAAGTCCTGGCTCAACCCTGCAATTACACATTTCTTGGAGTCTAAAAGGGGAAGAACGGCTAAAGATAATGTCTACCCCTCTAACCAATGCAACGACACATACCCTTCAAAAAGAGGGTGTAATTACGGGGCCATATAATTTTAACAAGTAAACCCACAAGAATTCAGCCCAAGTATGAGGGCATACCTCTAGTCCACAGGGAACATTTTAGCTCATTTATTTATACAGATTCATTTCTAACATTCAGAAATACCATCCCATGCCTTAGGTAAGTCTTGCTTTGGCTCCTGCAACCTCAGCGCTAACCCCCCTCCGCCCCCGTTGCACTGCAGCCTGTGCAAAATGTGAAGTGCAAGTCTTGCGGTTCATGCCTCTGCCCTCCAGCTCCCCCTCTTCTATGAAGTTTTTTCCCCTCATTCTCAGTTTCCTGAACAGCTTGATTCTTATTTCCTATTTTCCATCTTTCTGCCATCCCTCCTCCTCCAAGCTATTCTTGTCAAACTATTAATTTCATCGTATTTGACAGCACAGCAGCCCTCCATGACTGTGCTCAACAAATTATCAGTTACACCAACCTTAAGACTCTTTTTTTTTTTCACTCCACCAACTCTCCAGAAGAGGCAGTTTGTAAAACGCGAAGCAATATTAATGTCTCTGCTCAGGAATTTCCACTTTGCATTGCTAAGCTTTCATTTTGACTGAGCTCTATTCTGAAAAGACGTGACTCTCACGGGGTGTCTGCTCTATAGCTCATCTGCATCACTGCCTGGGAATATCAAATAAGTCTCAAGATCTTGAATGTTAGATGTATTCTTTCCTTACTAGAGCAAATTCACATGACCATGATCAGTAGTTCCATAGCGGGGGTGAACACTGTTCGGACAGCGTATTGTCTTCTGTCTTGAACCCAAACCTGAACAACAGTAACATTGATTTAACAAAACTGCCCTTGCATCTCGTTAATGTGTATAATGCACCGTTTCAGGGATACCCTTAATAAATATATTAAAAAATAATAAAGGATACAGGAATAAAGCCTGCTTTGGTCTATAATAACTCTCTATACAACTGCCACTCTGATTTAAATGGTTTAAAACCAACCCTGTATTTAAACAGATGGGCTTTCATTTGAAGGTACAGATGAGATGTAAAAACTCCTCTGGTGGTCCTTCCATAAAGGGCATTTTAATACCACAAATAAGGTATCAAAAAGAGATGAAAAAACACCAGAAGACATCTCCACAGCCAACACCCCCATTCTTGGGCTGATGTTGGAGACGAACAAGTACAAACACCTCGCTGCAGATGGTTTCTCACAGAGCAAGCCGAGAAGCAAGCTGAAAGCTGTGACTCTTGTTAGAAAAGGTCACCTCTAATCCAAGGGCAGGCTACTTGATTTGCTTTTCCAGCTTGCAAAACCAGCAGCTAATGCTTCTCTCAAACCATCCTTTCCTCTTGCTGAGGCACTGTAAGACCTCAGTGCCAGCCTGCATGAGTAACTCCTTGTTACTTGCTGGCGGCGAGGCTGGTGGCCCAAAAAGGAGATGTCCCAGTGCAAGCCTAGGCTGGGGCCGCTGACATGATCGGCTACAATTTACTTTCAGCATTTCCAAGTAGACAAACAGCTGCCCTGGATCAGCTAGCTATGTGTCCAGTTAGCCCAGTATCCTGGCTCTCCCGGTATCCAGTAACAAATGACTGGGGGGAAAAAAGAGCCAAAAATGGCTAAGTACAAGGAAAAACAACTGTTCTCTGGTTGTATCGCCCAGCTGCCGAGTCTGACGTTACATCTGACGTTACATCTGACCCTTGTTAGCCGTCAAGGGACCTGTCTTCCACTAATTGGGTTTGGGTATGGTTTTTCCCCCCCCAAATCTATTTATCTTCCATCTTCTGCAATATCTAGTTACAATTAGTTTTACAATTTAATACTTAGAAAAAATACACTCTTGATTTAAATGTGTGTTGATGGCTGCTCCCCTAGAGTCTCCTATTGCAAAAAATAATGCACCCGCCTGTGCCCCCTTCTCCAGATCATTTATCGTTCTGTAAGCTCCTACAACATTCTGTTAATTCATCTTTTTTACCAAGAGTCCTCGGCTTTTTAGTCTCTTCGGCCAAAAACTTTGAGCCAGTTACGGTAATAACTTGTTAACTAGTAACTATCCCTGGGTAGGGCCACTTCTGAATGTCTTCCCCTTAACCGCTTTAGAGCGCGACGGAGTTCTGCTTCCACTTTATGAGTCTCTCCATTAAATCTTGGACACAAATCCATAAATCCATTAAAGACGGCTGCATTAACCATACCTCTGAGGCAGAATAAATTCCCTCATGTGACACACGGGAAAACTGCGGGGATAGACGACTTGCTCAGAGCATTTTGCCTCTCCGAGCCGGGCTTTACCCGCTGGACCGCCCTTGTCACCGCTCGTTTTGGAAGGCAGGGTTAAAAAGCTGGCGCCGTTCAGCGGGAGGGTGGCAGCAACGGGAAATGGGAGCAGAGCACTTTAAGAGAGCCCTGGGAAGCTGTAACCTGAAGCCTGCCGAAGGCTGGGCCGGGGGAGCAGCAAAAAGCAGATGTGGCTGCACCGAGCCCGCACTGTCCCCG